AAAAAAGTCTGCGTCAGGCCAGTAGCCCATACAGCCTAAGCGACGAAATATTTGTACTCTCCCTTCCCCCTGGATGGGATGCTAGTCCATCACATGGTTACTCCCCGTTTTAAATTCGCCTCCACACGTTTACACACCTGTAGGATGTCTAGGGCGCAATGACCATTAAGCCCATTCATGCACGTTACAGAAAGAACTCGAAGTCAAGTAGATCAGAAATATCTGGTAGGTTCATGAAATGTTTAAGACGCATTCGTATGGATTTGACACCCGGGATTTGACCAAGACCTACAATGAATTAATGACATTATCACGACAGGCGATAAAGTTATGTTCGTGGAGACCATCTAATAAGCCACTAAAAATAAATCAACTTTACGTCTGAAGTTAAATGTAAAAAAAAAAAACCTTAATGTCTGAATCTATCAAAAAATCTAATCTCAATCATTGCAGTCAATAAATTACTTTTATCGCAATCTATAGGGGAAACATTAAAGTAAATAAATATTTTCCTTTTTGCTACAAAATAAGTTGTATCCAGGAGAGCAGCCAGTGTAGAGACATGTCAATTTAAAGGCAGTAGAAACAGCGTAGAAGATCCCATTACCATTGCAGACTCTCCCGTGAAGCAATCAACCGGAAACAACTATTTCGGCTATGCTGGCCAAGCCAGGAATATAGTGAAGATGAAAGCCATGAGCAGATCTACAGCATCTTCCCCTTACTATGGAAAAGCGCTAGCAGGTTCTTCTCTTCTTAAGAGAAAGAAGTGTAAGGTAGAATTTGAATCATCGTCCACAGAAAGCGAAGACAGCAAATCCGAGAGCGATTTATTTGAGAGCGACTCATCTTAAGAATTATTTTTCAATGATGATCCGAAATTGCCAATTTTAACCACTTCTAGGGAGAAATTGGAATCAGAGAGAATTCTCGAGATACTCTCAGAAGATTATCGACCTAAAGGAAATGCTAACAACAACCAGTGAGAGTAGAACAAAATGTTTTGTTTCTCATAGACACGCGTTTTATTAGCGTAGAGGACTTGCCAGCGGACGGAAATGGCACGTCTATTTACAACGGGCGATACTCTCAAACTTACCGAAGGAGATCAAATCTAAAATGGAAGAAGATCAATAAGAAACACATAGGAGTTTCAAGACCGGCAGAGTTTCATCTATTTAGGGCATATAGCTGCCATAAAGAATTCCCTGACTTCCACCATACAATTTATTACGCAAGAGATCATACGGGTGAAATTCTTAATCACTCTGTACTTTTGCAGTATCGTTTTACTGGCCCAGAACACAATATGAAAACTGTTCCGCACGGGAACTCCAAAACGGGTGTGCCATACACTCAAACGAAGCCATCCGTCAAGAGAGCTTTAAGCAAAAACTTAAGCTCATTTGCAACAAGCGCAGCCGTCTCCAAAACGCGGAAAGACTTTGGAGGACCAATGAAAGGTATCAGAGGCCGACATTCCCAGAGGTAGAACTCAAGCCTATGACATGAAAAGGGACCTCTTTAAGGCAACTTGCTCACAGCCAAGGCGTAAACAAATAGATGAAATGGCATCGTTTAATTGGTATGCGAAGACGGAAAGAAAGGGTTTCGTTAGAATGCACGAACTCTCGAGTAAACCCCTTATTCTACTGGCAACCGACAAACAGCTAGCCGACTTATCCAGATTCTGTACAAACAACTTAGATTTTAGTTACCTGTCTGTTGATCCAACATTTAATTTTGGCGAGTTCAGCATAACTCCGACCTCATATCGAAACATTTTCCTTAATAGTAGAAGAAGCAATAAATGTCCAGTGTTCGTCGGACCTATTTTCATCCACCACAGCAAGACGAAAGATATTTATGCGCAGCTTTTTCAGAAATTGAAATGTCTTGCTCCCCAGCTCGAGCAGTTGTGAGTGTTTGACACCGATGGAGAAAGTGCACTGTCCGATGCTCTGTCTGATAGTTTTCCTGGTACCACCCATCTCCGTTGCTTTCTCCATTTTCGTAAAAACATCGAGACTAAGCTTGTAACTCTCGGCGCGAAGGAGCACAAACAATATATCGAAGAAATTTTTGGAAAGCAAGAAGGAGCAACTTACGAGATGGGTTTTCTGGATGCCACCAGTGAAGATATGTTCGATGCTGTTCTGGCTTCACTGCAGGAACCGTGCGCTAGAAGGGAACAAAAAGAATGTGGGACATCGAGCTTCCATAATTGGATGCTTCATCGAGCCCAGATGATGGAGTCCCTGATCGCATCTGTCCGAACAAAGGCAGGCCCTGGTTACCCACCTGATAAATTCTACACAACCGATTCTGAAAACACCAACCGTCGCTTGAGACACAAAGCAGGAGAAAGAGAATTAGGCGAGACAGCTTTTGCCAAGGCTGTTAGAGAATTAATTGAAGATGAACAGGAAACTGAGTTTGTTCTAGCTGTTTTTAATGGATCTGAGCTTTACCAAATAAAAGAGCCTTTGAAAAAGTTCCAAATCTCGGTTGGCTATGAACGAGGAGCAACGGGAAAAGAAAGTAGAAAGAGTCTCTGCTGCCGATGTAGAAGACTTACATAGCGTTAATGACAACCGAGGCGGGGCTCAAGCATGTTTTGTCCGATGCGAAAGACGCAGTGATCATCAAAATAAACTTTCACTCACCACAAATGCAATGAAAGGTGCTCTTGATGCCCATATTGCAGAACAAATGTGGAGGAAAGCCGAACGTCTTCTCTCGCAGCCTGACAATGTTATGCCAGCTCCGTCAGATGATAAAAGTTGCAAGGCATTTTCCGTGTTATCGGAAGCAGGTAACCCCTAATTTCGTCAAGGCTTTCAACACCGCAAAAATTAC